TTTTCATCTTAAAAGTAGCACATACAGTAATCAAATATTCTTAATAAGACATTCTACTCAGTATAAAGTTGAATAATTTCTTAGTGTATACACAATTTGTTGAACATTCGTCATTAAAAATAAAACAATAAATCCAATGGTATCAATCTATGTGAATATTACAGAGTATCTAATACCTTTGATTTAATTAATAGTATACGATGAAGTCATTTTAATTCTCATAAATAGTACTATGTATTTTTTATCCTATTTCTTTGACATTTTGTCCTCTCATTCGAACATTTATTTTGTCAGTATAGGGGTTGTGGAGGTTAATATGTTTAGACCGCCATTGAAAACCTGTAAGCACTAGATGACCGTTTCGTCCTATTGTACGACTCCTCAGCAGTGTGCATCAACGATCCCACCCACGGGATTCGAACCCAGGGCCTTTAGACTCGCGCGTGAACTCTCAACCTACTGTATCATTAAGCCAGGTTTTCAATGGTGATCTAACATCAATCGGTTCATGATCTCAATCAAAAACATAATAATCTCCACAACCCCTATAATGATAATTATCATGTGCTCACTAATGACTAGCTTCCTGAGGGAATTCTCGGAGTTCTAACGAGAAGCCGTGACCAGTGGAGTTAATCTGTGTCGGGTAGGGACAGGTATCTATTTCACTACAATGGAAGATGGTCGCACAATTTCGTGAATTGGTTGAGGCTAGACATTAACACCACTGGTTGCCAGCTCAGTGGTCTAGTAGGTTGAGCGTTTGCGCGTGAGACTGAAGGCCCTATGCTCGAATCCCGTGAGGGGGATCGTGGATGCACACTGCTGAGGAGTCCCACGATAGGAAAAAACGGTCATCTAGTACTTCCAGGGTTTCAATGGTGGTCTAACACCAATCGGTTCACGATCTGAATCAAAAAAGTATTTATTTTGTGTTGTATTATACTTGACTTTATTACTACTTAGAAAAAAATCAATTAAAGTTTCAACATTTCAGGCATCATTCAAAATTAATGATTTACATAATAAATTACATAATCACATATATAAATGATTAAAATATGTAAAAAAGAATATTTAATTCAATAAAGATAGTAATCAAATGGTTTACATGGTTTTGTATATCAAAGAAATTTAGACCTAGACTATCAGAAAAATGATACACATAACTTTTTGGTTCAGTAGGAAATTTATTTTCAACTGATTGATTTTCTAATCTTTTGAGAAGTTGAAAATGTTTCTTGTTTGATTTGTCTTTAGTTATCTTTATGACGTACTGCATAAACTGGGACTTAAAGTCTTCTGTTAATTCATCAACTGCAAATTTTCTACGACCAATATTTACTATCTCTGTCAAGTCATTATTCTATGCGTCAATTTTATTAAGTACTTAGGGTTTAAGTGTTTTTCTGTTAGAATGAACGAGAATACGGCGTAATGACATGATTCAATACAGTTTTTTTTATAAATCTCAATGATGCTTTCGTTTCTGTGAACTTTGCATTATACAACAGGAACTCATTGAGTGCCATCAACGCAGTGGGTTGATCACAAGATTTTAATCACTGAAAATTCCCATTATAATAAAACAATTAAATATTCATATAATTGTGTTTTAATAATCAAATGTTTTATGAAATAAGAGAAAAAAATACATAAAAATTTCATTAAATAAATAAACAAACGTATGAGAATAGTTTCACAGTGTCTGGGCACCTAGTTGATGTGAGACATTAAAGAGGAAATATATATATTTCCTTGAAAAAGCTTAGACTAGATTACCACACAAAACGATTGATTCGTTGAAATTTTACAAATATATTCTTCCTTTTTAAACTTATGAGAATTCTAATTTAAACAAAAGTGTACCATAGAGATAAGTAACCACTTCACTTCTACCTGATGTTGATGGTGATGTTGTTGTTTAGAAGAACAATGAAAGCTTCACGATTAAATTATCCAGTTCAGAGAATAAAACTCCATCAAAATCTAATAAGGTTAAATAATATACAATTAATCCATTTTTAAAAAAAAAACCATACTCAGATTAGTCATCTGTTAAGGATCCAGTATGTGAATAACTTTTATTTTATTCCAACTACAAATGGTTAATAATACAAAGTTGTTTTTTTCACTTTATTCACATTGTCATAAAGTTAATGGTCATTCAATGTTCATATGATCAGTTTGGTATTTTATTTGTAAAAAAAAAATTAATTTTTCTTACTGAAATATGAAGGAATTCTGGAATTTTATTGATATTATAAAGAACATATTTACAATGTATCGATAGTTCCATATGTAATAATTAACTTTCACTATATGTCTTCATCGAAAACTTTAATCCTAGTTAAATATGATTATTAACTTAGATGACCGTGTAATGTAAAGTTGTTGTAGATTTAGGCTCTTTGCAATGAATAAAGTTAAATTCATTGTACTAGGTTCGAGTTTCGGAGTGAACATCAACTCTCAGATACAGGTACCTCTAGCTGATGAGTTCGAAATATGACGAAACGCATGTCCAGGAATCCACTGATAGACACCATCCATTTTTGCTTGTAAAGCATGAATAATGTAAGTTCGTAGACTTTTTTATTCTTACTTTGTTCAAGTTTTATGAGAACTTTATCAATTTTATTTACAGTGGTAGGTTCAACGTTTCCAATAAGATAACCACTGGTTGAATCATGTTGTGAAGGATGCTTTTGTCAGACATTTAGAACATTCAGTTTCCGATCATAATACCTAATTCTTTTCAGTAACTTATTACTCATCGAATAGTGTACGTCCTTGGTCTCATACCAGTAGATAGAGACAATAAAATTATACAAATGAGAAATCTAGAAGAAAGGGATCAATTATTTCTTCATAGTAATAGTGTTATACTTACTAAAGCAAAAGGGTGCTCATTTGATCTGTTATACATGTTTTACACACATTCATCGTATACATAAAACTACACCTATTATTTTTATATTATGTCGAACCAAGAGGTTTCTTTAAATGGGGTTATTAAGAATATCAGCAATCATGGAAAATTTCAAACTACCCGAGTTATTGAGCAGTCATGTGCTTCCAGGTTTCCCATGGTGGTCTAGCTTCATTTGACTCATGATTTCAATCTGTGAAATAATCAATATAATATCGGATATATAATTCTTAAGTTTGTCCATACATATACAGTTGAATTATATTATCAGCTTTAAACTTATGTTTCAGACATTCACTGAATAAATATATAATAGAATCAAATGATTAGTAAAATAACCCATTGTATCATTGAATAAAAATAAAGAAAATTCAGCGAAAAAAACTTTCTTCCTTTAAAGTGATCTACACAGTCCTTCTATAGACATATATAACTATATATACGAATCTACAGCTTAAGCTTCGTTAAAAAAGAAAATTTTCTTCACTGAATTCTCTTTTTCTTATTCAATGATATTATGGGTTTTTTCAACTATCCAAAGGAATTGGATCGAAGGGAAGTCAAATCAATATTTTATGAACTGCTAAGGCATTGGCAATCTCCGAACTGAAGCCTGAACTTTGCGTGTAGAAACGATTCGTCTAACCTAACATCCTTCCTTGATCTTAATTCCTTTTATTGGTAATGTTTGGGTTTTTTTTGTTTTTTTCTTTATTCTTATTTGATTATTATTGATTTTTTAAATTGTTGTTTAACCGTCTTAAACTGTAATCCGTTATTATTATTACTACCCTTATACAAGTTTTCTTGATTATTATTCAGTTTTTTATTATTATGACCTGTATATTTGTCGGTTTTCTTCATAACTGTGAACTGGACAATTATCTGACCCGTGAATTATATTCATCTTTATATTTTTTTCATAGCCATTCATTGTTGCGTAACCTTATTTGATAATAAGAGTCTCGAATCAATTTATGATGCAAACTTTTCTATCCTTTTATAGACATATTTTCCATATAACTATAAATATAAATGTACAGCTTAAGTAAATGATTAAGAACCTTCGTTTAAATTTGATTAAATAGTTTCAGAATATCTGGGCGCCGAGATTTTACAAATATATTCTTCCTCTTTAAGTAAATGATTTCGTCGAAAAGTAAACAAATAAGTAATTATAATCGGAGAAGGGTTTTTGTGGAGATTGTTGTAATTTAATAATTGAATTCATAAGTCAATTGAAGCTAAACCACCATGGAAAACCTGGAAACACTGGACGGCCGTTTCGTCCAAGTATGGGACTCCTTAGCAGTGCACATCCACAACCCTGCCTCTCGGGATTCGAATCCAGGACCTATCAGTCTCGCGCGCGAGCACTTAACCACTAGACCACCGAGCTGGCCGGCATCCAACGGTGTTGATGTCTAACTTCAACTAATCCACGAATTTGTGCCACCGTCCACCATTATCATCAGTGAGTTACTATCTCACAACAGACCCGGTTGAACACCACTGGTCACAGCTTCTCACTAGAACTCGAGGAAATATCTCTTTAGACCGTCAATAGTGAGAGTATGATGAGTATAATCAGAAAAGTACTTTTGTGGATATTGTATTAATTTTAATAATTGAGATCATGAGTCAATTGAAACTAGACCACCATAGAAAACTTGGAAACATTGAACATCCGTTTCATCTAATTTTATTAAAGAATATTCAATGATTTCCATATTGTTCATTGACTCATTTTTATTAGAAAAAAATTATGTTTAAATTATAAACTAACTGAACTGAAGCATTTTATGTTAATTTATTTATATAAAATTAATAATGACATAATTGTGATTAATTTACTTATTCAGTATAGTTACAAACACTTTTACTCAATAACAAAAAAAAACATATACAGTTGTTTTTTTTCTAATAACCTAGTTAAAATATGCAACAATACAGTCTATGACTAATATGAATAACTATTTGAATAAAACATAATTTCATTGTCCAACCTAATTGTATAATCTTTATATATATGCGTCTTAGTATACAGTTTTTCAACTGAAATACAAATATGCGTAGGTGTTTGTTTTTTATGATTCACTAATGTTTATACTCAGCAACAAGAAAATGTAGAAAAGAAAATCATTGATTATACTTCTTAAAACGTTTATAAATTTCTGGGTATAACGGAATATGTATTATTAAAATAAATACCATCCACCCTGTAATATTCTCGTTTGTGATGTACAGTCAGTAGCGTATCATCATCATCATCATCATCATCATCATCATCATCATCATCATCATCATCATCATCATCATCATCATCATCATCATCATCATCATCATCATCATCATCATCATCATCATCATCATCATCATCATCATCATCATCATCATCATCATCATCATCATCATCATCATCATCATCATCATCATCATCATCATCATCATCATCATCATCATCATCATCATCATCATCATCATCATCATCATCATCATCATCATCATCATCATCATCATCATCATCATCATCATCATCATCATCATCATCATCATCATCATCATCATCATCATCATCATCATCATCATCATCATCATCATCATCATCATCATCATCATCATCATCATCATCATCATCATCATCATCATCATCATCATCATCATCATCATCATCATCATCATCATCATCATCATCATCATCATCATCATCATCATCATCATCATCATCATCATCATCATCATCATCATCATCATCATCATCATCATCATCATCATCATCATCATCATCATCATCATCATCATCATCATCATCATCATCATCATCATCATCATCATCATCATCATCATCATCATCATCATCATCATCATCATCATCATCATCATCATCATCATCATCATCATCATCATCATCATCATCATCATCATCATCATCATCATCATCATCATCATCATCATCATCATCATCATCATCATCATCATCATCATCATCATCATCATCATCATCATCATCATCATCATCATCATCATCATCATCATCATCATCATCATCATCATCATCATCATCATCATCATCATCATCATCATCATCATCATCATCATCATCATCATCATCAGGAGAAGAAACACAATCATTGTTTTCGCTATCACTGTCAATTAGCTTCAATCAGTTCTTGCAATGAACCACAAAAACCAGAATTGTAATCGGTTTGCACACAAAAAGTGGAAATCAGTTAAGGCAACAGAAATCTGGAGACATTTGTCGATACTCAAAAAGGTAATACTTGTTGCCATTGAGTTGGTTAGCTAAAACAAAATTACAGCTTTTAGTATATTAATCATATTAAAAATAATAGACCAAGCACTGGATGGCCGTTTCGTCCTAGTGTGAGGCTCCTCAACAGTGCGTGTCCATGATTCCACACGTGGGACTCGAACGTAAGACCTTTTGTCTCGAATGCGTGCTTTCAGGTCTGGCATAGATCGATTCATAAATTCAACTATTAAAACAGCTTACTGTTGAATCATTGGTGAAGTGATCATGAATTTCAAATATCAAATGAAAATGATATGGTGGTTTAATGAATCATCAACATTATTGAAAAACAGTCCGTTGGACAAAATATAAAGAAGGCTAAAAAGAAATGACTTGGTGGTTCCAACACTTTAAACGGATAAAAGAGAGGTTATGACTCTGGTGAAGTGAGTATCTAGGTATGCCAATTTTAAAACAAACTGTCCAAGCTCATATTGGTAAATGATAACGATATCTAAATATTCCCCGCAACTTATCACATATTACTTAACCATTAATACGATTGTACAAATCTATTAAATACACTCTTCCTAAAGAAAACATTCTTCGCTAAACTATACCTGGACGTTTTTATGACAAAGTATATTGCCAAATATCATTTTAAATTTCTGTCAATAGTAACACTTAGTTATATTTAAGAAATTGTCAACAATTCAACTATTAAATATTTCAATCCTTACTGACGTAGATATTCAATGGTATGTTAAACATTATTGGCAGTAGAATAAATCAAATACTGAAATACAAATTTATTTCCTATTCAGTTAATCAATAACTTAGCCTTTACAACAGTTAATTGATGCATAAACCACTGTGTTAAATTTTCCATATAAAGTAGGAATAACGGATTGATTCTCGATTTTAGAACAAAAAGCAAGATATAATTACAAAATTACAATCACAATACGATATGAAAGCAAAATACTCAAAACATTGTAATAAGTTGATTGGAAACAAACAAATCTGAAAGCTTAGAAACATTAATTGCCATATTTGAGGACTGACATAAAACGTTTTATAGTGAGATTAGATGGTGGTTGGAAGTAGTCGACAAGAAACCCTGAACCCGGGTTTCGTGCCACTTGGCACTCGTCAGCAAGGTGTACCTGTAATTTTGAGGGAACTGGTGCTTCCTGGCGGATTCGATCTCGTGTCACCCAGTTTCAAAGTCAGAGACGTTACCACTGATCTATCCGGGTCGCGACTGACCTCCTGTAGGACTGAAATGTAATCACAATTGATTGATCACTGGGTGGTGATCAATGTCTAGTGTGTCAAGTCCTTATTTGGTGCAGATCGAATGCTATCGACCATAAGGATTTGACACGCATGACATAGATCACCACCCAATGATCAATCAATTGTGAGCGTTTTATAGTACAGTGAACTTATATTTATTTAATTAATTAATATCAGTATACCAGTATATTTCCAGACAGATAAGTTTTATAACCATAAAAAGTCATATTCATTTTCTTCACCTATGCATGCCTATCGATTTTTATACTCAAAATTTTCTATCGTGCTTATAAAATGACTTCAACTATGAATTAAATGAAGATAATTTATGAGATATGTGAAATTTCATAAGTTATTCAGGAGCTTATATGTGTACACTCTAATAAAAATATATTCAATTGACTCATGATCTAAAATATTGAAATTACTAAAATCATCACAAAACTCCTTCTGATACTAATCAAAATATGTTCACTAGTGACTGGCTTCAAGATGTATATCCTGGAGTTCTAGTGAGAAGAAGTGACCAGTGGAGTTCAACCGGGTCAGTCGTCAGATAGTAACTCACTGATGACAATGGTGGATGTGTCGCTCAATTTCGTGGATTAGTTAAAGTTGGACATTAACACTGTTGGATGCCGGCTGATCGGCCTATTGGTTAAGCGTTCGCGAGCGAAACTTATAGGTCCTAAGTTTGAATCCCGCGAGGTGGGGTCGTGGATGCGCACTGCTGAGTAGTCCCACAATCGGACGAAATGGCCGTCCAGTGCTTCCGTTTGATTAAGACTGATCATAAGGTTGATATAAAGTCAACATTTATAATGTTATACAAAAGCCTCCAAAAACTTGTACTAAGATTTATTGAAGCCCTGGCTATACGGAAACTGAGACCCTCTTTATACGTCCAAAAAAATTTGTCCTCACCCATAACCTACCCTGGTACTACCGATTTATTATTCAGAGTGGTAATTACATTGTTTTCATGTACTTTATTATTTCAATAGTTGAAATCATGACTCATTTGAAGCTAGACAACCATGGAAAATCTGGAAGCAGTAGACTGTCGTTTCGTCCTGGTATTAGACCCCCAGCAGAGTCATTTGAAATAAATATACAGACAATCTCAGGACAAGGGTCAATAATCACTAATCAAGACCAATTTCGACAGAACAAGGTACCAGTCAGATGTCGAGAAGTTCAAGTAAACTAATCTCACCCGAGGAGTGTTCTAATATAATAATAATCAAAATTTAATGAAATTTATCGAGATTTATCAAAGGGATTAATTGTTTTAAATTTGATTTATTATTATTATTAATATATTAGGAGAGGTATATTATTTATCTCGAACGAAGAAGCAGGAACCTACAGTATGCGTAAAAGCATAGAAAACTACTTGAAATAGGTGACAATAGTAAATATGATAATGGTCAATTAGTCACGCATTTATATACGACGTAAAACCTGAAACATGTATACATTGGGTCAAACTGTCAAATACAATTAGCAAAGGAAAATGAAATTTTTAGGGTAAATCTCAGAGTAGCTGTAGTAATAATTTTATTGGCAATAGGGATGATTTGCCATAGAAGATATGATTCGAAAAGTAAATGTAAATTATTGAAATAAAAAGGATTTCCGTAAAATAGTTTAGAAACTTGGAATACAAGGGAAGGTAGATTGAATGAACCAAGGTCACTAAGAACGATTCTGAGCTACGTCGCTTAAAGTCTGTGACCATTGGTCACGATAACCGCACCAACATCAATCTTGTACTGCTCACCTAACTACATGATTCAATCCAAAAGTCACTGGCTTCATCCTTGATACCAGATTTTGCTTTGTTTGCTTTTAGCTTCCTTTCAGCGCACTATTCCCACACTCACTGCTATATTGCTTGTCGGAGTAGGCAGTGGTTGGACATACAAAACACATGTTCTGACCACCCCAGTTCATGAAGTTTCACTACTCCGTCAATCGATTTGCAATTTTAATGGAGCTAAATAATAAGTTTAAAATGTCTATTGTTTTCAATTATTATCACTGTTTCTTCTCTTTAACTTTTCCTCTTCACAGATACTCCAATAATTGTGTAGACACCTTTCTGTTTATGCTTAAGTTATTTTCCGACCCCATAGTATTCTTAACTATACATGACAAGTTTTCAAACATCGATCTACTTAGTAAGTGCTTTTTCGCTGTGAGCTAAACTGTAAGTGGTTTCCTTGCTGTGGCTTTTGTGAGCCTTATAAGACCCAAACAAACATACACTTGCACCAGAACATGATCAGTTTGAAATATATTTTCCAGAGTAAGGGAGAGTCCTTCATCGAATCTCTTCATTAATGTCTGATAGTGACATTTATTATTTGCTTCCGTCTTTAAATCAATTGTGGTTAACTATGTTGGACGATGTTTCTGTAAATCCTTAAAGTTGGTGTTTGGCATGAATAAACGCTATTTTGAGCATGGTTACAATAGACAGTCATAGTGCAAACAGAGATTAAGTCACACACATTTTATCCCTTTTCGAATTTATTATTTAGTTTTCTTGAATCGTTGTAGATAAAGGCCTTTTTAAAGAAAATATCGGTCAAGTTGCTAAATATCAACTCTACCACCTAAGAGATAACTTAGATTTATTCCGTCATGTGATTGCATTAATAAGTTAGCTTTATACTTAGTAGTACATAAAGTTTGGGGTAACTTATTTAAATAAAATAATCCAAGTAGTTTTGTGTTTAGAAAGGTTAAAATAAACGGTTACGTAAAAAAAAAAGAGTTCTTTAACAAATGATTGCCTCGTTTTGAAGGCTTACATGTTAGTAACCATTATCCAACAATTATGAGAACAGAAAATGTCAGGAAATCATCCTATTTTGAATGTTCAGAAAATGAGAATGAAAACAATCTATGTAAATTGTTTTTATGCAAAACAATGTTGCTTTGGATTTAATAGAAAATAAAAACATACTTCGAAAAAGTTAATTGTATAATCATTTTACAAAAAACATCATTCAAGTCTTTATGAATCAAATCAGATTATGATTTTTAAAGTGTTTAATTACAATTTAATCTATAATATCATATTACAATAATTCACTTTGTAAATATGCGCATGCAAACACATTTAGTAACAGGAAAATACACAATTATAATATTTATTTGTATTCTAAAGAAATCAAATACTTTTCCCCTTTCAATTTACAATCTTATTTAGACTAGAGATTATTTAGGATTAATATATATTCCAAAAATTAGTTCATTGATATTTAAAAGAAAAGGGGTAAACAGGGAATACTGAATGCAACATTTAAGAAATTTCCTTACTTCTTACAAATATTGAATATGTATGTTGGTCTACTTATATGTGTGAAATACATTGTTATTAGAATATGGGATATATTTAATAAAGTTTTGAACATTTTTCTCAATAAAATGACAATGGCTCAAAAGGGATAATTCGTACATTAAGAAGTAAACTAAGTTTCTTCTTTACATTTATTGTGATAGTTTACTGGTGTTTATTTATCCTTGAAAATTGTTTCAGTGGATATGTTTAATTCGTTCTTTAAAAAGATGATCCTTAATCGATGTGGTTTTGTGCAAAACATATGATCACAATAA